ACTTGAACTACTGACTCTACTGACTTGAACTACTGACTATATTTAGTCACCACCCCCCACGTGGGCATCATGTGGCACAAGGCCGGTTTAACATGGGCTCTTTGAGCCCATGGGCTCGGCTAAAAATATGCCCATTGAACCAGTATAAACGGGTTCAGGGTCAGTTTACCTCCCCGAAAGAGAATCCGCCCTTCGGCATAGCCTCCTTCAGGTTCCTCCCCACCCGAAGGCAGAGAATTCAACCGATCTATCGTTCAAGACTTGAGCGACGGACTCTCGCCTACTGACTGAGGTGCAGTATTTATTAAGTATGGAAGAGTCCATTATTATTATCATGGGTAAGATCCCATAACACTTTTTTTAGTTTTTTAATCAATAATGTATTTATTACATACCTTCTGTATGGATATGTTCATACACACACATATAGATTCTATCTATCTATCTATCTATCTATCTCTAAAACAATAATAATATTTAAAATAATACAAATATATATCTATATCTATCTATCTATATATATATATATATATATATATATATATATATAGTTAGATTAATAAAACAAAAAGAATATTTCAGATAAATATAGATAGAGATTCATATATATATATATATATATGTATATATATAGTGCATCGCGGTAGTAGATCATTACATTTCAAACTTGCCAAAACACATTACACTGGATCTAGACATGTTTTTTTTTAATATTTTGGTTTCTCACATGGTACAACGTCATAAAACTGCATCATAAATTTACGACCTGCATTTGCTATTCTTGAAACCATTATTGTCACATAACAATCTTCTATGTCAACACGACAGAATATCATCTTTGATGGTGAATATCCTTGTTTAACTGTCCATGTAACCACTCTGAAGATGGCTCATGTGAGCTGAAAGCTTAGATCAAGGACCAGCTTAATAAAAAATATATCCAAATGTTGGACAATTTTTGTCTTTATTTTCACCTGGAATTAAAGCAACCATATGAAGTTTAGAACAGCTCATGATCAGACATAATAAACATTCATTGTCTGTTATATTCAATACTATATGTTTAAATATATATGTATATATATATTGTTTGAAATTTGTTCCGTATTGTAGATAGAATCAGTGTGAACATAGGACTCAGTACTGCATAGTGACTGTCAGTTTCATATCTCAACTTCAGACCTTATGTTACTATACTTTTGATGAGAGATTTAGGGAAGTAGAGAAAGGAGCTAACTAAAGCAATTATGTTATTTATAGACATGCCATTTAGTTTTCTTATTTTATTTATTTACTTGTTAGTTTAGCATTTAAAATTTATTATTTTATTTGTTTGTATATTTCACTTAATCATATATTTGATTTGTCTATTTTCCTTGTTTCTAATTTTACTAATTGAAATATTTTTTATTTGGTCTAGGTTATGGAAGGTCATTTAGTTTTATTCAATCATGATAAGATTATAGAAAGTTTTAAAGGAATTTGCTTTCTAAGTATATTTGGAAATAAGCTGGTTTAAGATCAAAGGAATAGTTACATTATTTAGTGGTGTTGATCTAAGGTGGTGCCGTTTTTCTTATTTTTCTTGGTATTTTTGTTGTGTTTTGGTTTCTGTTTTTCAGTTTTCATATATGTTTTGAGAGGGTAGTGCTATTTGCACATTTTTTTTTAAATTTGTTTGCTATGACATAAATGTAAAAGAAAGATTAAATTAAACATTGAGTTATAGGAAATATGACATTGTTGCAAGGAACTGTGAATGTGATTTGTATGAATAAATGAAACGCACTTTATATCAAATTTTAGTTTGACCTGGGATGATGGTATATTCTGAATATTTTTGCAAGTATATCTTTAAAATGTACATATAATATTAAATTGAAACAATTGTTCATAGCATTTTAAAGTAAATTTTAGTGATAATATTTAGATATTAGGACATAGATTTAGTCAATCACTTGTGTACCATTTCCACTAAACTTTGCCATTTCTGAGCCAGTTTCATGATTCCATTCGCCCTGAATTTTGCTCTTACAGTTTTCCTGAGAAATGAAAAAATGGTAATCTAAAGATTCAAGTTCAAATGAGTATGGCTGATGTAGTTGGACATCACAGCCAAACTGTACCAATTTTTTGCCAGGTGTGCAGAGGTGCAGTCTTGTATTGTCCTGATTGAAAACAACACCTTTTTGATTGGCCAGTTCTGTATTCTTTTTCTTGATTGCTGATTTTGATTGGTCCAACTGGGAAAAGTACTTGTTTGATTTTGCTGAAGGAACTCATGATAAAAAATACCCTTCAAATCCCATACACAGCATCAACTTCATTGGATGCAAATCTGGTTTGGGAGAGTTTAATAATTGCTCATTTCATTTTCTGCAGAATATTTTTCACTCCACATTTTTGTAAAGAATGATAGCATTTTTTTTAGTATTTGAGCAGAGAATTGCAGATGGAAATGAAGTCCATTAAATTTAAATCATGAAGTAACCAAACATCTTACTGATTTATGCACCTATGTTTTCAAATGCCTTACAATGCTCATATGTGATATGGGAAGTATCTTGACAATGCCCCATATTGTGTAACATGGATTATTTTAATCAGGCCTGCCAGAATGTTCTTGGTCTTCCAGATCCAAATTTCCATTTCTGAGCATAGAAACCACTTACAAACAAAGCTCTGAGCTATGGCACCATCCCCATAAATGACACATATGTTTTTTGCTGTTTGTACAGTAATTTTTTTCCCTTTCCAGAAATAAAATAGGCATCAAATGAGACAAATGCATCTCATTTCCTACTATTTTCAATTTTAACATAAAAAAACCCATTTAAAATTGACAATCCAAATATGAATCATATGGATTCATGAATTATCCACATTAAGCACTACAGAGTCACTTACAATCTCTCAGGTAATCTCCTTGTGATACCACCTTTAATATACAGTCATGGAGAGAATTATTTGCCCCCAATGAATATTTGCATATTTTCTAATGAATATTTGCAAGTACTAACTGAATTTACTATAAATAGTTGATTCCTTATTTAGTTTTGAATAATTTGTGAAAGTTTTTGAAGTTTCAATCTAGTATATCGATAGTTATGGATTTTTCTAAAAAATTGGTGCAGTCCAAAATTATTCACCCTCCCCTTATGGAAATTGTGATATAATATGTGGCAAATGCAATGTTGTTTTTCTTAATTTGACATTTAATGAAAATGAAATAGTATTGACTTGATTCTATAACATTCTAAGCAGTAATGAAGAAAACAATAGCTAAGTGCCACATGCGACAATAATTCATTCATTCTGCAACCATGGCGAAGACAGCTGAACTTGACAAGAAGCTTTGAACAAAGTTTTGATCTAAACTCCATTAAAAATATTTGAAGAAAAAAGTAAGAAAAAGAAGTCCTTTTAATTTGGAGGAACTAGAAGCTATTTCCAAGGAAGAATGGAGCAAAATACCTAACAGTGTGTATAGTGATCTTGTAAGGAACTATCAAAAATAATTAAAGGAAATAACCAAGAATAAATGTTAAACAAAATAATTATTGAGGCAAGGGGACAAAGAATTTTGTCCTATGTTAAATTTTGGAGGTGTTTTCTTTTTGTATTATTGTTTGACATTAAAAGAAAAATATTGTCATGAGCATCATGGCACGTATTTTCAAATCTATTTTCATCATTTGTGAAAAAATGCATATGAAGTTTCCATGAAAATTTGAGGTATTGCAGCTTTATTTGTAATTATGGAAATGGGGGTTGAATAATTCAATCCACAACTCATTTATATATATATATATATATATATATATATATATACATACATACATATGTGTATATATATATATATATATATATATATGTGTGTGTGTGTGTGTTTATGTGTGTGTGTGTGTGTGTATGTATGTATGTGTGTAATTGAATGATAAAATAGTAAAACTCCTAAAGCATGCGTTACATCCACAGAAGGAATTTCTTAAGCAATGGCTTTTTTGTTGCACTGTAGATGTATGCTGACTATTATAAAACAAAGTGCACAAAAGCTGTTTGTGGGGGGAGGGTCACCGGATGTTCCAACGTGAAAATGACTCGAAACATACAGCATGAATTGTTACAAAATATTTAGATGACAGCTAAATTAAGGTATTGGTGTACCCTGCACAAAGTCCTACCAAAACCACATTCAAAATTTATTTGAAGACAAAAGTAAGAGAAAGAAGTCCTTTGAATTTGGAGGAACTGGAAGCTATTTCCATAGAAGAATGGAACAAAATACCTAGCAGTGTGTATAGTGATCGTGTAAGGAACTATCAAAAATGATTAAAGGTAATAATCAAGAATAAAGGTTAAACAAATTGATTACTGAAGCAAGGGGCCCAAGAATTTTATCCTACGTTATATGTTTTTGGTGTTTTTTTATTTTATTATTATTTGACATTAAAAAAATTTTGTTTTGTTGTGGATATCACTGCACATTCTTTCAGATCCATTATTTCATGATTTGTGAAAAAATGCACACAAAGTTTCGATGAAAATTTGAGATATTACAGCTTTATTTATAATTATGGAAGTGGAGGTGAAAAATTTTCTCTCCAACTGTATATATGTGAAATTAAATCATGTGTGAAAATATCACCTATTAAAAAACAATACAAACTTTTGTTCTGACCCAATATATTTATTTATAGAAAGATTAAATCAGTCTACATTTTATTTATATTTTTGCTTCCTTTTCACTTCAAGAGAAATTTCATTTGATCAAATGAAACAATTATTTGTGTAATATATTTGTGTAACAGCCAGCACTGAATGGATGTCTGGGAAAATTCTAAAATATCCTTTAATGTCTGAGTTTGAAGAACCAAAAGCAATTAGAATCTTGTCAACATCTCATCGTTTCTATTAATTATAACAAAGTTTGACACCTGAGGTCTGTTCCCATTTTCTGTTTTGTTTAATGGTTTATCTGATCATGATTCTTCTTGACAATGAGTGAAAATGCAAAGAAAGGTTGGAGATATTCAGTATTGAAGAAAAAATTGCTGAGATTGTGGTTTCATTTAGTTTTGCCTGAGGTTAGATTTACAATATCTATCTATCTATCTATCTATCTATCTATCTCATTCATTTTTTCATTATCTATCTAGCTAGCTAGCTCATTTTGTTCATTATTCTTCTATCTATAATTCTGTTCATTATCTATCTATCTATCTATCTATCTATCTATCTATCTATCTATCTCATCCTTTTCATTATCTGTGTATGTATCTATCTACCTCATTCTGTTCACTATCTATCTATCTATCTATCTATCTATCTATCTATGAAAGAAAAATACAGAAAAAACAAAAATCTGAATATGCATTTATGTCGTATTAATGTTAGAATCATTTTTGGATTTGCCTTGTAACGGGAAGGACTTCAAGCTTATTGAAGATATAAGAACCAATTGATCACTACGTATTCCGACATCATCGGAAGAGATTTCTTGAACTGTTTATAAAAATTTTTCAATCGACTTTTTAATATTTTAATTTTGGAAATCATCTTCAAATACATTTTAACAACATCGCCCACGTGACGACTACGTGATCATATTTAAACAGAACGCTGATCTGTATAAAACTTCAGTTATCTGTTTGAATTATTTGGGCTCTTATGTCCATCGTCTTTTGTGTTAAATTTTTATAAGTTATAATGTTCATTATGTTTAAATGAAAATGTCCATGTAGATGGTCTTAAATAGACCGAAACGTCTGACGTCGACTTTATTTTAACATTAATACTACATAAATGCATATTCAGATTTTTGTTTTTTCTGTATTTTTCTTTCATACTGTCGGATTTATATCCATATATTTGCTTACATACTATCTATCTATCTAAGTCTCTTTGTATCTGCTTATTTGAGTTGTTTCACATCCACCCTCTCTCTCTCACTCTCTCTCTCTCTCTCTCTCTCTCTATCTATCTATCTATCTATCTATCTATCTATCTATCTCAATCTCCTCATATCTAATTATCAATGTCTGTCTATACCTATTTATCTAAATCAATGTCAATTTATGAATATATGTATGCATGTAGATATGTATATTTTTCATACAGCATTCGTGATAAAGTGTGTAAGTCAGCCAGTAGTCTCATTTGGCATCATAAAGGGAAACATCAGGATAATCAGGTTGTTGCTGGAACATTCACCTGTACACAATATAGAATAAGTTACTTTTATGTTTTAATGAGACATTTAAGAGATCAGAATGACATGGAAATCATCTAATTATGTTAATTTATGAGTTATGAGTCTTAGAGGTGCTCTTCCTCAGTCACAAGTCAACTTCCACCATGTATGTCGGTATCTATATTTTTATCAGTACCAAGCTAGAAATAACATGCAATCACATGAAATCCTATGTGCGAACTGAGCAGACTTTACAAAACATTCCAGGCCCTGTACAAAACAACTTGGTCTACCACATCTACTATAAGCACTGCAAGTCCCTTGATGGCTTCAAGAGCCATTGACATTCTCATGATAACTAAAAACTTGTTTATCAAGTTGACAGCCATCTATCTATCTATCTATCTATCTATCTATCTATCTATCTATCTATCTATCTATCTATCTATCTCATTCTGTTCATTATCAAATATGACCCTGTTCATTATCTATCTATCTATCTATCTATCTATCTATCTATCTATCTATCTATCTATCTATCTCATTCTGTTCATTATCCATCTATATATCATTCTGTTCTTTATCTGTCGATCAATCTCATTATATTCATTATCTACAGTGCTGTGCAAAAGTAAGTGAACCGCTAAAATAATATTTTTAAAAACTGTCTCTTTTTTCCAGATGATCAACAAATATTAATTAAACTATATATTCATTAAATCAATTACAACCACTTTCAAAAATTTTATCAAGCTGAAATAAAAAATATTATTTAAAAATTAACAATTAATATGTGTAAAAGTTAGTGAAATAGAAGAGCCTTGGTATGACAGCATCACACTCAAGAAGTGGCCGTCCACAAAAAATAAGAACAAAAGTTTTTATGCTGGGATGAGACCAAACTATAGCTTTTTGGGAGGAATATTAGGTGCTATACCTGGCAAACTCCTAGTATGGCTTTTGAAAAGAATTTGGTACCAACCATTAAACAAGACAGTGTCAGCATTATGATTTGGTGGTGCTTTGCTGCAGCTGCAACAGACAAAATAGTATGCATTGATGGCATAATAGACTCTGCAAGATACCAAGCAATTTTAAATGAAAGTGTCTTGTCTTCAGTTTGCAAGAGCAAGCAGACCTCTAGTTTGGAAAGCCTAGGCAAATCCTACTATGACCTTTTCAGATTTCCAATGCACACTGAAATCAATGTTCATTCATCTACAGTGTGATGAAATCTGAACAATGCCAATTTTCACAGCAGAATGCATAGTAAAAGCCACTGCTTATGAAATAACAGACATGTTCACCTCAACAATGCCAAAGCTTATATAAATAAGAGAGGAACATTCTAGCAGAAGCTTTTATAATCAGATGAAACCTAAAGAGATCTTTTTGAGAGAAACAATAGGTGGTGTATTTGACATGTGCACTCCTAATACAAATTTGGAAGAGAAGAATTTGCTACCAACCATTAAACATGGCAGTGATGGCATTATGATTTAGTGGTGCTTAGCTGCAACTGGAACAGGCAAAATAGTATGCATTGATGACACAATGGACTCTGCAAGATACCAAGTAATTTTGAATGAAAGTGTCTTGTCCTCATTTCAAAACTTGGGTTTAGGTTAGAGCTGGAACTTCCAAAAGGACAATGATCTGAGGCATCAGAAGCAAATCCACAAAAGAATGAAAATCAAGCAATTGCTGGAGAAAAATGGTCAAAAATTGGCACTCACTACTACCAGAAACCTTTTAAAAATTATCGAAAAAGGCTGGTGGAAATTGTAACCTCAAAAGAAGCAGTCGCTAAATATAAAATGTCAGTGTTCACTTACTTTTACATATCTTGATTTTTAATTAATATTTTTATTCCAGCTTGATAAAAATCTTTGAAAGTGGTTGTAATTGATTTAATAAAGTTGTTTCATAATGAATATATTGTTTAATTAAGATTTGTTCATCATCTAGAAGAAAGAGACAATTTTTTAAAATATTATCTTAGGGGTTCATTTACTTTTGTGTAACATTGTACATAAACTAAATTAATCATTGTCAGTCTCTTTAAAAGTTTCAATTTAATGCTGCCTGAGAGAAGTAAACTATATAATGTATACACTTTGAAGACAAATCAATGTTAGGCTAAGTGATTTTCTCTTCCAGTTAAGAAAAATTTGGTGATGAAAATTCAACAATATTGAATCATTAAACAGAGACCACAGTAACTGTAAAAGCAATTTTCATTGCATAATCAAACCAATATGAAGGCCAGCATTCATTTGTGATCACTCCTAGTTGAGTCACCTGGGAGAGGGTTGAGTTGGTGCTTTTAGAAGCCCAAAGCCCCCAATGACATCAGAAATAAATCTCAGTGATGAACCTTCAAGGCATATCGCAAGGGTATTTGAAATACATACTTATGGGAGAATATGATATAGAAAATTCTACATATTTGAAGAATGTCTGTTCTTAGAATTTATTGAATCTGGTCCCTGATAAAATATTTTTCCTAAACAATCAACATATTTCAAAAATGTTGATGATATGATAGTCAGCAAAACAGCCCAAGATGCAAACTATGAATTGTAGACACTAAAATCCTCATCCTGATCATGGACATGAGTTTCATAGCCTTTTAGGGTCATCGAGGCTCCACATGTACTTCAGCTGTATCACCTGGGGTGTGCCTTGAGAAAGACAGCATAATGGAGCCCAACCCTCTCCAGACTGGTTTGAATTCAATGTTTTTTTCCCTAGATTCAGCTTACGGACAAATCATGTTGAAACACTAGTTCCCATACAATCACAGAGGTTAAGCCTGGTCAGTAACCAGATTAGTGACCACTTTGAAATACCAGGTACACTAAGTTTGGATGTGTAGGTTCTGGAATCGAAAATGGCTAAGAATTTTGAATCAGAAAGCCTAGTTCCATTTTCCAGTTCATTATATTCACTTACACAAAAATACCTTTGGAAAAGGTATGAATCCACCTCTTCTCCCTCCAGCTATTGGTTAATTAGTAAAACTTGCATCATTAAACCATTAATATCTCAAAAAATTCTTACAATTTTGTTGAAGCTTGGATAAGCATGGAATAATAATAATACAACACAAAATGTACGTAAACAAAATGTATTGAAACAAGGAAAAGGTACACAATATTTACAGTTAGTTTTGGTATATTCTTGGGAAGACTGTTCCTGTAGAATGGGTTGACTTAATCGCAGTCGGGCAGAGTCTCTGGATTGGATCTCTTCTTACTTCTTCCCTCGTCTTCCCGGTACCAACCCATATTTATATGGTCGGTACTCCACTATGTAAATTCGGTGGATCGTACCACAACAAATTTAAAAATAATTCTGACTTTAAATAACCTGAAAAAGGTTGATAAGTTGTATAACATAAATCATTAAACAATTTTCCTAGACTGGTTGCCAACCAAGGCTATAGGTCTCTGCTATTTATTCATAACTGGGGGTAGAAGAAATGAATTCATACCTTTCGCAAGGGTATTTCTATAAACTCAATTGGAATTCAACCTCAGCTCTCTAATTTCTATTTCTGAGCCATTAACCATTACACCACCACATATACCCACCACCAAAAGCAAACAATTACAGGAACAGAAATATCTATGTATGTCTTAATAGAGGAAAGAGAGTGCAACACCAAAATCAAAAGCTGTATTATAATAGTGAAAGGTTCTTCCAAAAGCTAAGCAAAGTATTAAGAAACAGGAAAATTTCATTAGAAACAAACAAATGAGTACTGAATTGCTATGAAGTATCGGTCTTCTTATATAGCAGTGAATGCTGGACAATCTCATCATAGATGAAGAATAGACTTGAGGTAACAGAAATGTGGTTCTATAAATGGATGCTGAAAATACTATGAACTGAACATGCAAATAATGAAGTTTTAGGGAAAATGGATACAAAAAAGTAGCTTATATTTAGCATCAGAATGAAAGACTTGAAATTTCTAAGGTACATTATGAGGAAAGAGAGTTTGGAGAATTTGTCACTGGCAGGACATATAGAATGCAAGTGGGGCGGGGATGAAAATAACAAATAACCTACCTGATGAGCTTGTGTGAATGGATAGCAAAACAGGATTTAGGAGAGATAACAAAAAGAGAAAAATTACTTTGAACAACAAAGGACAGGAAATTTTGGAGAGCTATGATTGTCCACATCCTGAGGAAGTACATATAGAAGAACAAGTTTTTTTTTAAATCATCATCATCATCATCTTCCCCTTGACTTTTAAAATCATACGGCAGATCTGAATGCAGAAGCCACACTAATTCTTTTCCATAATGGTCTATCAACAGCAGCCATTAGCAATTCTGGTACAATCATACCAGTACATTGTTTGAAATTCTCGCAACAGTTTTTTGCATTGGAAACATACATATTGGATAATTATTATTTATTAAAATATTATTTTAGACAATAGAAGTAAAAAAAAAATTTATAGAGAACATTTAAAAAAAATAATTTCACCCCAAGCAAGGCTACAAAGTCACTAAGACACAGGGGTCTGAATGTGGAAGAATATAAGAAAAAAAAAAAAACAGAAATTAAGACAGAATATAATGATTGATATTGCATTTAAACTTTTGAAGATGAAATTTAACTAAAGAGCAAGAAGCCAGAAGAGAGTTCTACAAGCAAGAAATATTAGAAAAGAAACAGTTGGCATAGAATTTATGGTTACATCTAGCCATTACAACTGTAAAATGATGTCCAACTTCAACGGCGCATTACATGATGGTCTTGCACAGGCTGTCGTGCCTTGTAATGTGTCCAGACCATGCCATTTTCCTTTGTTTGACAGTGGTGATAAGAGGTTCATGGTGTCTCACAAAATTTTCAACACTTTTTCACACAAACTCATTGTTTTTTGTTCCCAGTAGAAAATGCCAAGGAGTTTTCTCATGCATTTGTTCTCAAATACTTGGATCCCTAAAAAACTGATTTTGTAAATAAACTAAATGTGAAACATGCAATAAAATTTTCTTATGAAACAGAAGCACATAATGCATCACTTTTCTTTGATACCATATAAAACCATTCTAATAATGACCTAAAACTAAGTGTATATCATAAATCTACTAATAAAAATGATATTATAAATTTCTATTCTATTAATCTCATAGCAACATAATAAAATTTAGATTAATCATTGAATTCTATTTAAGAGCACTTAGAATTTGTAGCTCTCAATATTTACGTGATGGGAAGAAATCCATTGAAAATGCTTTTAAGTTCTTCCAATATATGACTTATTTCATATTTAATGTTAAATTGAAAGCTATTCAAAATTATAAAAATAAAAGTATGAATGTCAAATAATCTTAATAAAACAATATATATATATATATTGTTATCCATAGAGAGATTGTTTTGCTGTATCATAGCTCATCAGCATGACTAGACATCTGATCGCTTTAAGCCGAGACCAAAACCCGACCAATTTGGCATCAGTTGAAGATTCTAACCCCTAGGCCATTGGCACCCATTAGAGAGAATGGTGAACTTTTGCAGATTTAGTTTTTCATAAACATGCCAGAGAACTCAATCCTTTGGGCCTGAACCCGTCTAGGCGGGTTCAAAAAGGCTATATTTTTGGCTG